GGACAGAATAAATCGATCAAGTCACGTGTTGGCAGTGAAAATCTGGGCAAATGGAGACTCTAAGGTGGACTATGTCAGCAAGTGGATTCTGGAAATTTTATAGTGCTTGGAATGGTGAGCAATTCAGAACAGTTTAATTATCAAAACCTCTTGAGCAGTGCCCTCAGAGCATGCCCCACGCTGGGGACCCAGGGATGGCTGGAAGGCTGGGTGGGGCTTCTCCCTTTATCTCCTCCCCTTGCCCCAGATACAGGAAAAAAAAGGGAATGCGGAAACAATGATCTTACCCACTTTCCTTGACCCTTTGCGCCCTAATCAACTATGTAAAGATTATCAAAATAATAACTAATTTTAAAAATAAAAAAACAAATGAACAAATCTTTAAAAAAAGTATTTTGTTATATGAGCCAAAGATAGCTGTCTTCTCAAGAAATAAAACACTAGTTCTCCAAGTTATCAAATGAATGAATTTGGAAATACAAATACAGTAGTAACCGAGAGTCAGAACCTACTGGTAAAGTGTTTGGGATCTAGACACAGTATGGCATTTTGATGACATAAGAATCAGAAATAATTTTAAAGCAGAACAGGTTAGAAATGTATTTGGGCCCGGCGCGGTGGCGCAAGTGGTTAAGGTCCTTGCCTTGCACGCCCGGGATCCCATATGGGCGCCGGTTCTATCCCAGCAGCCCCGCTTCCCTTCCAGCTCCCTGCCTGTGGCCCGGGAAAGCAGTCGAGGATGGCCCAAAGCTTTGGGAACCTGCACCCACGTGGGAGACCCGGAAGAGGCTCCTGGCTTTGGATCGACATAGCATCGGCTGTTACACTCACTTGGGGAGTGAATCATCGGATGGAAGATCTTCCTCTCTGTCTCTCCTCTCTGTATATCCGCCTTTCCAATAAAAAAATAATAATAAAAATAAATCTTTTAAAAAAAAATGTATTCAAAACCTGGAACCAATTGTTCACAAAGTGGGCCAGACTCAGGCATGACAACTTACAAGCAATTAGTTACAAAAGACATCAACAAATTTGAGTGAGGAAAAGAGAATATGTATACGTATGGGTGAAACAAAGTTACAAAGCAGTAGATCTTAAGACAGGAAACATACCAAAGATAAAAGACAGGTTATATAACAAATGGATCAGTTGCAGAGGAAACTATGTAGCAATCCAAAGGACATGGTGACCTAGCAGCAGAGAGTCAAAATATGTAACAACAGGTGGGAATTTGGCCTAACAGCTAAGTTAGAGTACTGCCACCCGCATCACCTGCCTGAGCTTAGACCCTAGCTCTGCTTCTCCACTCTGGCAGACAAGCAGTTGGGTCCCTGTCACGATGCAAGGGAACCTGGATGAAGGTTGTTCCTCCTCCAGCTACTGCAGGTAGGTGGGAGTGAATAGGCAGATGGGAGCTTTCTCTGCCTATCTCTCATGGAAAACAAGATGTAAAAAAGGTCACGTGTTGGACTGGGCACAAAGGCCTGCTGACTTAATCCTCACCTCACAACACTCAGGATCCTACATGGGAACCCGTTCACATCCCAGCTGCTCCACTTCTCACCCAGCTCCCTAGCTTGAGGCCTGAAGGATGGCCCAAAGCCTTGGGACCCTGCACCTGCTGGAAAGACCCAGAAGAAGCTCCTGGCTCCTGGTTTCTGATTAGCTTGGCTCTAGCTGGTGCAGCCACTTGATTAGTGAACCAGCAGATGGAAGATCTTTTTCTCTGTTTCTCCTTCTCTAAATCTACCTTTCCAATAAAAATAAATAAGTTTTTTTTTTTTTTTAAGAAAAAGGTCATATACCATAGCATTCCATTTGTGACACGATTCCTAAAGTCAGCACAGTGGTGACTTTTAGGGAATAATATTAACTTAGAGGGACAGAAAGAAGGTGCTTGATGATTCTTGAGCTGGGTAGTAGTTACAGGATACGTTTACTTGGTTGGAATTCATAAAGTTGTTTGTTTATCTTTTATGCATTGGTTGATGTCTGTTATCTCCTCCAATGCAAAAAGGTGTGGAGGCAGACAACAGTGACACTGCAGAACACGCCAGGCAGTGCAGGCCCCTGTGTGCACTTGTGTTGTTGCTGGTTTTAAAAAAGCTTAAAAAGCAAAGATAATTATTTTTAAATAGAAGAATGCTTACAGATTTGGAACATAAAGAAAAAATATTATTTTAAAATTTTATTTATTTGAAAAGCAGAGTTAGAGATAACAGGAAAGATGGCGGGGGCGCGGAGAAGCAGGTCTACCACGTGGCTGGCAGAGCCTAAGGTCCTGGGCTCTCTTCCACTGCTCTCCCTATACCAGCAAGGATCTGGATTCAAAGTGGAGCAGCCAAGTCTCCAACCAGCCCCAAGTCTCAGGCCATGGTACCCGCTGTTGCAACGCTGCCACCAGGAAAAGTATTTTTTGTACAGCTTAAGATGTGTTTGAATCTTAAGCTAAATGTTATTGCAAAAGAGTCAAAAAAACATGAAAAAAAAACACCACAAAAAATGACTTACAAGTTGAAAAAGTAAAAACGTTACAGTAAGTTAAGGTCAATTTATTACTGAAGGGAAAAATTTTTTCTTTCATATAATTCAGTGTAGACTAAGCATACAGTGTTTATAATCTACAGTGGTGCATTCTAGGCCTCCACTCTCACTTACCGACTTAACCCAGAGCAACTTTCGGTTCTGCAAGCTCCACTGGGGTGCTATGTCCCATCTTTGATGTCCTATTTCTCTAGTGCTTACCTATGTTCAGATACACCAACACTTCCCACTGTGCTGAAACTCTTCACAGTGCTTGCACAGCATCACACTGTACGTGTGTGTAGTCTAAACATCCGGCTCTGCCATAAGCCTACGAGTGCAGGAGGCCACAGTCACGGAGGGGCGGGTAGATACCCTCTGTGACGTTTGCACAACAAACCACCTCACAGAAGTGCACAAAACCCTGTCCCCATCTTTAATCCACACATGACACTAGCCATGCGGATCCCCTGCTCATGTATGTCAATAAACGTGTCCCGGCTTTTCTCCTGCCAACCTGTTTGTTTCACACTCAACTAACAAACCTTAAAAGGCAAAGTTAACTTTTTTTTTTAACTTTCCAACATTTATCAGTAGCACACTTGTCAATGAACAGATTGGAGTTATTTTATTCATATTTTATTTCTCTGTGTTTTCTAATTTTTATAAATCAATCTGCATATTTGGTATATTAAAAACTTTAAGACAGCTTTAGCCTAATTTTCTACTCCAGTTGCTAATAAAATACTTCATTAAAAAAACTTTATATCCCAAAACTAAAATTTTATATTGCCACACAATAGGTATAATAGAAATGATATGATTTTTGCAAAAAAAAAAGCAGGATGAAGGAGTCAGCACTGTGGGTAGCACACAAGCCTGAGCCTACAGCGCCAGTGTCCCATACAGGCACTGGTCCGAGTACCGGCTGCCCACTGGATCTAGGAGAGACAGCATCCCATACAGGCACTGGTCTGAGTACCAGCTGCCCACTGGATCTAGGAGAGACAGTGTCCCATACAGGCAGTGGTCTGAGTACCAGCTGCCCACTGGATCTAGGAGAGACAGCATCCCATACAGGCACTGGTCTGAGTACCAGCTGCCCACTGGATCTAGGAGAGACAGCGTCCCATACAGGCAGTGGTCTGAGTACCAGCTGCCCACTGGATCTAGGAGAGACAGCATCCCATACAGGCAGTGGTCTGAGTACCAGCTGCCCACTGGATCTAGGAGAGACAGTGTCCCATACAGGCACTGGTCCGAGTACCGGCTGCCCACTGGATCTAGGAGAGACAGCATCCCATACAGGCAGTGGTCTGAGTACCAGCTGCCCACTGGATCTAGGAGAGACAGTGTCCCATACAGGCATTGGTCCGAGTACCGGCTGCCCACTGGATCTAGGAGAGACAGCATCCCATACAGGCAGTGGTCTGAGTACCAGCTGCCCACTGGATCTAGGAGAGACAGCATCCCATACAGGCAGTGGTCTGAGTACCAGCTGCCCACTGGATCTAGGAGAGACAGCATCCCATACAGGCACTGGTCCGAGTACCGGCTGCCCACTGGATCTAGGAGAGACAGCGTCCCATACAGGCAGTGGTCTGAGTACCAGCTGCCCACTGGATCTAGGAGAGACAGCAAGCATCCCATACAGGCACTGGTCCGAGTACCAGCTGCCCACTCAGATCTAGTAGAGACAGTGTCCCATACAGGCACTGGTCCGAGTACCAGCTGCCCACTGGATCTAGGAGAGACAGTGTCCCATACAGGCACTGGTCCGAGTACCAGCTGCCCACTGGATCTAGGAGAGACAGTGTCCCATACAGGCACTGGTTCGAGTACCAGCTGCCCACTGGATCTAGGAGAGACAGCGTCCCATACAGGCAGTGGTCTGAGTACCAGCTGCCCACTGGATCTAGGAGAGACAGCAAGCATCCCATACAGGCACTGGTCCGAGTACCAGCTGCCCACTGGATCTAGGAGAGACAGTGTCCCATACAGGCACTGGTCCGAGTACCAGCTGCCCACTGGATCTAGGAGAGACAGCGTCCCATACAGGCACTGGTCCGAGTACCAGCTGCCCACTGGATCTAGGAGAGACAGTGTCCCATACAGGCACTGGTCCGAGTACCAGCTGTTCCACTGAAATCTAGGGGAGAAGAAGATGGTCCAGACACTCTGCCTGGCCCAGCCCTGGCTCCTGATGCCACTGCAGAGTGAAGCAGCAGCTGGAAGACTTCCCTCTTGCTGCCTCTCCTTCTCTAACACCCTTTCAGATAAATGAACACATTTTTTTCTAAGAAACATGAAGACACCTTTGTGAATAATTGTAACGGACACATATATAACTGTCAATATGTGATGAACTAGATACTTAAAATGAACACATTTTTTGACATGTAACTATGTTCCCATAAAGCTGATTTTAAAATTATTATCCAGAAACATTAGCAGTTAGAACATTTTACATACAGTACCTACAAATTCCACAGTTTTCACAATGATATTGCTTCTTGTCTTTGTCAAACAAATGGCATATACTGCAGTAATATTCACCAAACAGGGTACTGCACCCTTCACAAGTCTGCTGGGCCTAAAAAAGACACAAGAAATTTTAAAAACTGGAGTAAATTTATGAATATGACTATCTGAATATCCAGAATTTATGTTGATGTATATATGCAGTTTTATTTTTACCCATTTCCAATCATCTAAATCAAAGACACTTATTATCTAAGTTAAAAGAAGTCCCACTGGCAACAGTTCTCATTAAATTTTTAAAGCAGCTTAATATTTAACAAAACAGAATGTCATAGAAATCTTACATGTTGAATCTTCTCGCAGTTTATACACTGTACCTCCGTTACTTTAAATCGGTCCAGCTGATGATCTTCGTTGCTGTCATGACAGAGCCGGCACGTATACAGCTTGTCACAGCAAGGCGCCTAACCCCAGGGGAGAAACACGGATAAGCAACAAGACAAGACAAGTTTGCTATGCAAAGAGAAAAAAATTTTTCCCCCTCCTCCTCCCCTCCTAGAACAAGATCAAAGGACACCGGCAATGGACAGGATGCTAATAATATTTCATTGATTTTTTGGCATATTTTAACAATTTCCTTCAACATCTATATGTCTGAAGTTAAACACAATCTTAAAACACAAGTTTAGGATGGGAATCCCTAGACTGGGAGATGAATCCATAAACACTCTAACCTCTCAGACTGAGTAACAAATGCACAACTTCCTCACAGGCATTTCCACACAGATTTTTGTAACATACTCAGCCCCTTTTTTATTAGTACTTATTAATCAGCAACCCAATACTCAACACTGCAGAGGACATGCAAGTGTTAACAGACAGTCCTAGTGACAGCCACCAAAATCTAGTTTCCCCTTCTCCAGGGACACGTGACTGCCCACCAGTACTACTGCTGGATCAATATGGCAAGGTAACACATGAGGGCAGTCTGTCCCCAGAGGGATCGCACAGAACAGAGGCTTACTGCCGATCTGGAACCTCACCTGGACACTGTGAGGTGGGACAAAACAAACCACTTTCTCAGGCTCTTCAGTCTTTTCATCAGGGCTACAGAACCCAGCCCTAACTAGCACACCAAGAGACTTCCAAGCCACTTTCCAGGAAACAAACCTCGTGCAGCCAGCCACTCATTTCTGAAGGCTCCTTAGGCCAGACTGTTAGCCGTTTCTTCTTCAGACTTTAACACCTAACTGGCTTCCTTTCTCCCTGTGGTCCCGAAGCTTAGTGATCCACACCAAAAAAGATCTTCAATACTCCGAACTCTCAATTCCTGGCCCTTCCCACTTGCAATGACCTTGTTCCCCAGTCCTCCTCAGCCACTCCACAGAGCAGTGGCTCTCAAAACATTTTGGTGTCAGGACCTCTTCACACTTTTAAAAGTTACAGAAGATCTGAAAGAGCTTTGCTGTACAGGAATTTTATCTATTGATGTACACTACAGCACAAATTCAAACATTCTGGCCTGCCAACGTGACACAGGAGGTAAAGCCTCCACTTGCAACACAAACATCCCATATTAGCCCAGCCGACATCCCGGCTGCTCACTCCCGATCCAGGTCCCTAGCAATGGCATGAGAAAAGCAGCCCAAGACGGCCCATGTCACTCCACTGGGGGACCCCGTCTCCTGGCTTTGGCCTGTCCCAATACTGGCAACTGCAGTCATCTAGGCAGTGAACCCATGGATGGAAGATCTCTCTCTCTCTAATCTTGAATTTGAAAATATATGAATAATTTTTTAAAAAGCTAAATTTTAAAGCATTACTTTAAAAAAGTCTCAAGTCCATTACATGGAACATAAATAAAATGCAGTAAGGCTTGCATTGCGGTACACTGGGTTAAGTCAACATCCACGCGTCAACAATGCATATCGAGGTGCTAGTTCAAGTCCCAGCTGCTCTGCATCCAATCCATCCCCCTGCTACTGCACCAGGGAGAGCAGGAGGTGGCCGAGGTGCTTGGGCCCCTATCACCTTCACAAATACACAACTGAAAAGGAAAGAATATTTATGCTTTCTCACAAATATGTGCAACCTGAATTTACTATAAAGTAAAAAGTTTCTGAGACTTTTCAGAGAAGTATGAATTTTTGATACTATGCCAAAACTCAACAATTCTTAAACACTAGTAAGAACATGGAATCTAAAATTTTTTCAAAGATTTTTTTCTTCTTCTTAAACCCTACTCATCTATCTCATATTTCAAAAACATCTTTTAACCTGTATTTCTCATTTGGAAAATGTCTGTTCTCTGAATTACTTAGATTCTTCCAAGTGTTCATATATTGACATATGAAGGAAATCCCATTCATTAAAAGTCTTTAGCACTAAGGAGACAGTCTTAACAGAAAAGTTCTCTGGTCCTAAGAAGCTTCCGAGTTCACAGAAGCCAATAAAATCTTCCAAAATGTTAATAATCATAACAACTAGAAACTGACCACTGGCAACAGATATTGTCTAGCTTCCCTCCTTAATGTCTGCCAATTATCCAAGTCCTCACAATCTAACTGTACAACAGCTTCGCCTCAAGAAAATCATTTCATTTCAGTTTGCACAAGTACTTAATAGAAGCCTTCCATTTTGTTCAACAGAGCATTAATAAGATGTGCTGAGTTGACAAGATAATTTCATTGCTTCATCTATTACAGGTGAAACTGCCCCCCGCCTTTTTTTTTTTAAAGATTCCTTTACTTATTTAGAGGCAAGAGTAACTTCAGAAGCATGTCAAATTCATTACATGTAACATAAATAGAATGTAATGAATAAGGCTGGCACTGTGCTACATACAGTAGGTTAAGTCACCAGCGACAATGCCAGCAATGGGTATGCAAGTCCCAGCTGCTCTGTTTCCAGAGGAACTGATTTACCTGAAAAGGCAGACAGGGAGACAAATCAAGAGATCTCCCATCTGCTGGTTCACTGGTCCTTTTTTTTTGAAAGGCAAATCTACTGACAGAAAAAGATCTTCCATCCACTGGTTCACTCCCTAAATGGCCCAATGGCTGGATCTGAGCCAATCTGAAGCCAGGAGCCTCCTCCAGACCTCCCATGTGGTACAGAGTCCCAAGACTTTGCCCCAATCCTCTGCTGCTTTCCCAGGACCTATGCATGGAGCTGGACGGGAAGTGGTGCAGCCTAGACTCAAACCAGAACCCATATGGCATCCCGGCGCTTGAAGGGATAAGATTAGCCAATTGAGCCATTGTACCTGGCCCCAAGATCCCTTCCAGCATCACTGAAGAGGACAAAGGTTTGAAGTACTGATAGAAAGCAGTTTTGACCTCACAGACACCCTGAAGCTGCCTCAGCCCTTCACAGGGTCCACTAACTCCACCTAAACTGCTGCTCCCCAAATGCACCTTCCTGGGATCTCAATTTCAGGCAGGAAGTTTCTCTGCCACCTTCTCTTTTCCAGCTCACTCCTGGGCCACCCTCACACACACCCCAGCACCCTCCTGTCTTCCTCTACACACTCACCATACCAAAGTCTGAAACCTAGTGATGCCCACTCCCCAAATCTTTATCAGGAACACATGATTATAGCTTTTATAGAGACAAAGCAGCCCCATTCCACCTGCAAATCATAACCACTCCTAAGAGGCCAACTGTTACTACCGTATTACCCTATATTTTTCCTCATGCTAAGGGAGCATTTCACATCCTCTCTCTTTAAAACTCTTAACACCTCCTCTTCCTTAACACTCAGCTGGTGAACTTGTTATTTCACTATGAAAACGGAAGTCATCACAAGAGAACATCTTCTCACCAACTCAACCCACTTGCAAACACACCTCAATGTCCTCTGCCTTCACTTCTTGTACAAAGAATATCCAGGCCATGCCTCAATCCAAATCTAAAGAATATCAATCACCTTGGACACTGGATCTTAAGCCCTCTGGCACATCAAGGCCATGTCCCTAGTTCTTCCCCATTATAAAATGTTCTCACTTCTATGAAAAAACACGTTCTAACACCGCCACTTTTATAGGAGTTTGGGGAGTAATCCCATAATGTATCTCCCAGCAACCAAGGCCTCATTGTTTTTCTTGAGCTCTTTTATAGAAAATGATACTGTTTCTAGTTCCATTTGTCCTGTTACCTCCAGTCCACTCCAGTCGGGCTTCCTCCTTGCCAAAAGTAAACGTCAGCTCCCAGTTTTTAATCGAATGTGCATTTGCCCTAGCTTATCCCTTCCTCCTTGCAACACATCATCTGACCCCTGATATTTAGGAGAGCGGGAAGAAGGCAAAAAAAAAAAAAAAAAAGTGGCACTCCTGTCTAAATCCCTCAGAGCTAAAAAACCCAGATCGGGTTGTGTTTTCTCCAGGGGGAAGAAGGCTGTCCAAGATACCATTCAATCAAGTTTGAAAGAGTAACAGACCATCTCAATAGAAACAGAATAACAATTTCCCGACACACCACTTGAATGGACAACTCACAGAGTTTCATCCACAGCCTACAACAAGGGTCTATGTTGCCCACGCCAGCCTGAGACTACCACTTGCATCTAAAGATGCTGGCCCGTGACAACCAGCATGGCTAACCGGTGAGGCGACCCAGGAGTTCAGGACAGCAGGGACGGTGGTCGTCTACACTTACACTAACCCCAGGGAATGCACCTGCTAAAACACTACGAGTGCCCTTTACTTGACAGCCTTTTTACTTTTACCAAGCAAAACTACTACTTATCTTATGCTCCCGAACAGACACTAAAAAGAGTAGCTTACTCAAAATCACAGCGCTGAACAAGAAGTGTTTAGATTTGAGTGCAGGACTGTGCAACTCCAAAACTCCAGCTTTCTAAGCAAAGAGGGACCACTTCTTGTCCTTTGCAAGAAAAACCTGGGAACTTCAATTACATGTATGCCAATTAAAAAAAAAAAAGTTGATTGCACAAACAGCGAAAGTAGCAATACATATGTCTCATGCACATTTGCATACATAATTTCCAAGTTAAACAGTATCACGTGACTGTCTTCCTATTCGGGACACAAATTTCGTGCTTCACGGGTTTGGGCATTTGCACGGCCTCTAAAATGAAGCCTGTAGGCTGTAAAATAGCATTTCAGGAACTGAACACATCTGCCACCCTCCCATTTCCTACCCTCTTTTCATTATTTCATCACATGCCAGAAGCGGGGAGGGGTTGTGGGAGGCTGGTCGGGGCAAAAAAGCCACGCCGCCAGGGCCCTGGGGTGGCCTCAGTGTATACCTCCAATAGCCAAAGTCGAATAAACGCCCTAGTAAAAGGACTTGCATAAGCCGACGCTTTGACCAGCCAAAAAGGGTTTTTCTTGCAAAGGACAACGCAGGGAAGAAACACGGGGCCTATGGTCTCGTGGCCAAAACGTTCTCCTACAAGAGAAATCCAACTGCAGGTGAAGTCTCCTGGCAAACAGCCTAACCTCAAATTTAAACCCCAAGACTGATGGCGCGCCCACCCTGCCCCCGGCCCTGCCCGACCCGGAGGAAGCTCGCCAGGGATGTGCCCATTCAAGTCGTCACCTTCAAGAGACAGCCTCTGTCATAGTGCTCGCAGCCACGCTGGCGGCTGCCACCTTCCCGCGCCGTCGCCGCCGCCATGTCCTCCACCGCCCCGCACACCCCCAGCCCCTTCCGGGAAGAAGGCAAACCCCGCCCAGAGAAGCAGCGCCGCTCCTCCCAGCCGCAAGGGTCACATGTTCAAGATGGCGGGCGGGCACGTGACGCGGGGCAGGCCAGCTTCCGGCTCCCGGGGCGACCGGGCGGAAGTGAAGAGAGATGCAATTTCTGTCGTGGCTGTGAGTTGCTGTCTTCGCTGCCTAACGGTAATTATTCTTCTGTTGCTTTTTCTTGGCCTCGCGTCGCGGCCCGCCCCAATCATGGGGGGTGATGGGGGGAGGCGTGTTTCGGGACGAGGACGACTGCGGCGGCGCGGAGATGCCGGGCGGCCCCCGAGACAGGGGGACCCCCTTCACCCCCTCAGCTGCGGGGCACCTGTGACAGGGCGGCCCCTCCCTCTGGCGGGCGGCGGGGAGCCCGGCCAAGGGGGCGGAGCGCGGCCCGGCTCCGGGGGAGGGATCTGGCCTCCTCGGGGTGCCCGTGTGGGGCCCGGGAACCCACACTCCCCGCGGGACCGCTCAGCGAACTGGGCATCTGGAGGGGCGGCGGGGCGTGGGAGGACGGGCGCGGCGAGAGAGCTGTGAGGAAATGGCCGCGATCGGTGTGACGGCGTCGGAGGGCGAGGGAGAAGCGGGGGTCTCGGAGGGGACAGCGGCCGTGGGCTCGGCGGCCACTGGACCGGACGCGTCGCCGGCCTCCAGAGCCGAGTCGGCAGCGAAGCCGCAGGTGTTGGCGCGTCCCTCGGCTTCCCGACTCCCTGACGCGTTTCCTCGGACGTGCTGGGAGAGGTCCCTGTGTTTGCCCCCAGTCCGCCCTTGGAAGTGCTGAACTGACTGAAACCATTTTCCGTTTTCTTCCAGTGCTTCAATGAGCTGCTAAAATCATGGTGAAATGTTGCTCGGCCATTGGATGTGCATCCCGCTGCTTGCCAAATTCCAAATTAAAGGGACTGACGTTTCACGTGTAAGGTTCCACTCAGAGTGCCCTGCAGCGATAGAAAGCAAAAAAAAAAAAAAAGAGCAAACGTTCTGTTTGGGTGTTCCATTTTGAACTTGAGTCCCCAAGTGCTTTTTAAAGTCACCTTTGCAGTTCAACTTGAAGTAACTGTGAGGACTTTAGACTCTAGTCATTTAGAAGTTTTAAGATAATCTGCCAAGGTATCAGGCTTAACAACAAAATATATCCATAAATATATTTCAGAATCAATTTGCTGTTTTTACTTTGCATTTTAACGTATCTTCAGCGATGTGTGCATGTAGCTGACAGTCTGAAGGAAGGATCTTTGCTCAGGTCTAAATGCTGTTGTTTCTGTTTAGAAACAGACCAAGGATAGGTTGTAGAGTAGACAGAAATGACGTGTTCAGAGCAAGAGTCTTTTAGTTGCATTACAGGTAAGTCAAGGTGATCCTGATTTAGTGTTTTAACTATACTCAAAACCACAAGGAGTGATTGAGCAATAAGATTTTAAGCAAATGATTCATTTCCTGGAGATCATCTCTGGCCATTTCTGTACCAGACAGCATGCTAGCTGCCAAAGGACCATCGGGTAGCATCCGATACCCTGCCTTATTCTAAAAAGAATCAAAATCAGCTTTGAATTTGGGACAGAAAAGGCTTCCTGACCTCTGTACTCTGCCACAGACTCGCTCAGCATTTGTAGACCTGCTGTGTGTTAAATGCTGTGCTAATCCGCTTTCTCTGGCTCCGGAGAAATGGAAGGTGCCCAGTTCACCCACGAGCATCAGCTGTCAACTTCAGATAGGAACAGGCCCCTGGCCATTGTTGAGCATTCCTCCATTGAGAGACACCTTTCTCAACTGCAGATCTTCATATAAACTGCTAAATATCCATTGAAGTTTTTCTTCCTAATGGGAAAAATTGAAAGGGCTATGTATGTCTGATGGCATAATTAGGAAAAAACAGCCTGAGCTTAGGGAAGCATGAATCACAATTCCCGGAACTGTCAGTTCCTACAGTGGAAACAAGCAAGATAAAGGCACTTCAGCCTCAGCGACAGTTCGAGGAGGTAGTTTTAATCTAGCACGTATCCATACTGTTTTTAATTTTGAAATTTTTTTTCTAGATTCCCCACAGATGAAATCACCAAAAGAAAGTGGGTATTAGCCATGAAAAGGCTTGATGTGAATGCTGCAGGCATTTGGGAGCCAAAGAAAGGAGATGTCTTGTGCTCCAGGCACTTTAAGAACTCAGATTTTGATAGAAGTACTCCAAACATTAAATTAAGACCTGGAGTCATACCGTCCGTCTTTGATTCTCCGTATCACTCACAGGTTGGTTTATGAGATCCTCCTTGCCGTCGTTACTCACTTTGTTGCTGTGAAGGAACCCTTACCACTCTGGCTAATGTTTTTATTGTTTGCCTGTTTATTTGAAACCCATTCTTTCAGTTTTTTTAACCTGTAGGCTTCACTTTTCAGTTTTTAAAATGTCTAAGTATTTGGTGGGTAGCCACTCATACATTTTTTGTACATTCCCTAAAGTTTGATGAAGTCCATCTGGAATTTATGAGTAGCCATCATTCAAGCTTTGTGACTAAGAGCCTAAGGTAGGCACTTGGCCTAGTGCGTAAGACAGTGAGTGGTTTACTGTGCCTGCATCCAAGTCTTGGGTTGGTTCCTGACTCCTTATTCTAGCATCCTATTTAGACCCTAGCAGACAGCAGGTGATGTTGAAGGAAGTCGTTCTCCACCACCCACCTGGGAGACCAGATTGAGTCCCCAGCTTTTAGCATTTTAAGTTCTGACTTGACAGACTTAACAATGGCAATGTTAGTCAAAAGTAGCCAAGCAAAAGTACATTTCTAAGAACTACACAGGTGCAAGTTTAAAGTCTAGGTAAAGACCAAAGAGATATGAATAGGGAAAAGAAAGGGAGGAGACCAGAAAAAACTACATAAGGAAAAGAAGTAAGTACACTCTAGTCAAACTTTTTTCTCAGTGATAGTAGCATATGCTGACTGCTTCACCCTCAGTACCTTGACCTATGTCCCTAAAAGTGTACTGGCTTCTAGAAACTGGATGGTTGGTTCCAGTGTGGAAAATACAGGAAGAGCCTGTGGATTCCAAAAATAATAATGGACCTCCATGGAGAGGTGTCCCCTTCCTGTGACCTCAAGGAATTTTACATGGTGCTAGGCCAACTCAGTCACTTTTTGTAGTTGGTCATCTTCTGAAAGTGCCTGGGTGGCCAAATGAAAGGTCCCTTGCTTTCTTCCATTTAAGGAACATATATACCATGTGTAATTTAAAGATTTTTTTTTGTTGTTACCTACTGGCTAGGTGCCATCTAGCTGTAATGTTTAAAAGATATTAAGAAAAGGCATATAAACAAATTTTTTAAAAAAAAAAACATAAGCAATTAAATCATGTCACTAACTTTCCAAAACAACTGTTTATTCCTGAATAACAGAGTAATTTTCCATGATAGGAAATTTGTTGATGCAAGCAAAACAAATTACAGTCTAATCACATAATCCAGAGATGATAATGTGAATACATTCATGTGTTTCTCTCCACTCATTTGTATGAGTTCATATATAAATTCAGCCTCTTCAAATACAAAGTTACACTAAATCTTATTTTTACCTGTTTCTCTGTTTTTTTTTTTCTGTTGTGCTTGCTAGGTGCTAGTCACTGGTCACATACTTGACAAATATATTAACTCACTTCCCTCCTCAAAAATGAGCGTAAGAAAATGCCGTTACTCTCATTTTATCACTTGAGGGACGTAAAGTTCAGTAAGCTGAAATGCTTTCCCCGAGATCACACAACTTATGAAATAGCAGAGACTTAAATTTGAACACGGGTGTTTTAGCTTCAGACGTTAAGTATCTTCCCACTACAGAGGCTTTGAAACTTTAGTAAGAATTACCTGGAAAGTTTGTTCAAAAACTTCCGTACCCCACTTCCGGAAAATTGGACTTAGTAATTTTGATTGGAGTGCTGGGTTCTGCAGTGTTTCAAAGTAACTCCTCATGTGATTGTACACCGCAGGTCTGTTTAGATCCCATTTTAAAAAGAAGCCAGTATAGAATATCATTTTTTCCTACTAAACTTTATTACTGAAATATAATAGTATGCCCAGCCTCAGTGTACAGTGGGTTTTCACGATATGCATGTACTCGGGTAGTTCCCTCAGGCGAGGACATAGGACATCACCAGCTCCCCCAAACTTCCCTCGTATTGTTAGTCACTGCTTCCCACGAGGCTAACTACCATCCTAACTTGTATCACTGCTAATTGTGTAAATGAGCCCGACAATATATATCCTGGCTTCTTAGTTCTACATTTTGTGTGATTCATCTGTAGTATTCACTTGTATAAACAATGATTCCTCCGCACTGTTCTTGAACATGAAGGTGGTTTTCACATAGGAGCTATTAGAAAATGTGCAGCCATGGACGTTTCATGTGTTGGTTCAGCCTGAATGGGGTGCCAGAGTTTCCGAAGTGATTTGGAAATTTATGGTCTTATCATTAATATGAGGGTTTCAACAGGTTCACATGTGCATATTATTTTTTTTAAAAAAGGCATGGATTTCAAAAATGTAATACACCAAAATAAACTCATACTTGGGCCTGGCGGCATAGCCTAGTGGCTAGGGTCCTTACTTTGAACGCGCCAGGATCCCATATGGGCGCCAGTTCTAATCCTGGCAGCCCAACTTCCCAACCGGCTCCCTGCTTGTGGCTTGGGAAGGCAGCTGAGGACGGCCCAAAACCTTGGGAACCTGCATCCGCGTGGGAGACCTGGAAGAGGTTCCTGGTTCCCAGCTTCAGATCGGCACAGCACCGGCCATTAAGGTCACTTGGGGAGTGAGTCGTTGGACAGAGGGTCTTTCTTTCTGTCTCTCCTCTGTGTATATCTGACTTTGTAATAAAAATAAATAAATCTTAAAAGAAAAAAAAAAACCTCGTACTAAGTTCATAGTATGAGCAGGATCTAGCTTGAAGCACTAAGGATAAGCACAGCAGTTTGGAAGAGCCCCTATCAGATTGGCATGAATTCTGCCCAAACTGTAACAATAAAAATCCGGTTTATGATGAAGCTTGGGTGGAAGAATGGTGAAATCACTGACCTTTTGTGGAACGGTGCAGTTCACAAGCGGGTGCCTGATTTTAGGAAGCAGTAAGCTGGTTTTGAAGCCCATCACAGCCAACCATCCATGTCAGTTTGCAAGGAAAAAGATTGATCTTGTCCCTGCCCTGGGGAGGAGAATCAACAAGCGAACAGCAGCAACCGAGCCAACACCAAGACGGCTGACTCCACCTCCGCCATGGTGACTGGGAACTGGCAGCGTTTCTGCTCTGTGGATGCTGACACAAACAGCACGGGGATCCCGGAAGCAATCTCTGAAGAGCTGGGACAAGAGCCAAAACGTGACTGTGCCTGTACTGTCTCAACGACAAACATGCAGACCGATGGCAGCAAGGTTAGAGGATACTCAGCTTTTGTGTTTTTAACTTTCTGGAGGACCAAAGAATGTTAACATCTTTCTTTCCTTTGAGCACAGCGTTTTGAGAAAGTTAGCCAAAATTTTAGGGAAATACTTGAAACAGCTTCACCAGGTAGTGTTTCTGTACTGTGACTCCTCCGGCTCACGGCTGTCATCCTCAAGGACATGTGGCAGGAGTTTTGATGGATGTCATCAGGCATGATGTGGCTTCTTCACACTTTCTTCACCTTGAATCTTCAGGGCCGGAAGCAGTGCGTTAACTGGCTGACCCTCCCCATTTTCACACCGGGGTCCCAAATGTCCTGGCTACTTCACTTCCCAACCTCATTGGAGGATGGCCCAAGACCTTGGGACTGAGCCACCGGTGACACCCAGAAGAAGCTTTCTGGTCGTTTGTGGAGTGAGCCAGTGTATGAAACATCTTTATCTCTCCTCCTCTCTGTAAATCTGCCTTTCTGATAAAAATAAATCTTTTTTTAAAAAAATCTTTGAAAGGCAATTTTTTTAATTTATAATGCGAAAAAAAAATGCATTGGCATGATTGTATGTCCAGGACTGTCAATTTGGGATGTACTAAAATGGCTGCTATCAATGCTTAGAAAAGTGGCTTCAACTTTTTGGGGGGTGTGGGAGTTGTTTTATGTTGAAAAACAGGTTTCCACATTTCATCCTTACCTTCTAATTCTACAGTCCATGGACTTTTGAAGTCCTGTCATACATGTAAACATTTGGGGCCAGCACCATGATGTAGACTAAGCTACCTTTGGCACCGGTATCCCATATAAGCACAAGTTCAAGTCCAGGCTCCTCCACTTCAATCCAGTTCCCTGCTTATGGCCTGGGAAAGTTGTGGAGGATCTCCCTGCAGCCACATGGGAGAACTGGAGGGAGCCCCTGGCTTCTGGCTTTGGACCAGGCCAGATTTAGCTTTTGTGGCCATTTGGGGAGCAAACAAGTAAATAGAAGACCTATCTCTCTGTCTTCTTATCTCTGTAACTTTTCCCTTGCAAATAAAAATAAAATAAGTCTTTATTTAAAATAAGTTTCTTGGAGCCATCACTGCCCCCGGGTCTACGTTGGTCGGAAGCCAGAATGGGAAGCCGGAACAGAATTACACTCAGGCACTGTGATGTGGGACATGGGTGGTGTAACTGCAAGGCTACGTACGTACTCCTGGGTTTATAGAGTATTTGCCATGATTATAGGAGTTGGCCCTGTAAAAACTATTACAAAACCTGTAATCAATGGCAGATATCTTTCAGGATTTTAAATACTATAAAATGAATACTTTATTAAAGTATTTAAAAGAGAACTTCTCTGCTGATTAACTCCCCAGATGGCCATAATGAACAGGGCTGGACAAGTCCAAAGCCAGGAGCAAGCAGCTTGATTGTGGTTTCCTGTGTGTGTGGTAGGTACCCCAACACTTGGAACATTCTCCACTGCTTTTCTAAGGCCAAGAGACAGCTGGATCAGAAATGAAGCAGCTGGGACACAAGCTGGTGTGCCTATACAATGCTGGTTCTGGGGCTGGCGCCTTGGCTTAGCAGGCACAGCCTCTGCCTCGCCCTCAGCATTCCACATGAACACTGGTTTGAGTGCCAGCTATTCCTTATTCAGCTTCCTACCAGTGACTTGGAAAAGTAGCAGAGGATGGCCGAAGCCCTGCGGCCTCTCCCCCCATCCACATGGGAGACCCTGAAGAAATTCCTGGTGCCCATCTTCAGACCTGCCTAGCTCCGTTGCAACCACTGAGGAGTGAATAAGCAGATAGACACTGGCTCTGTCTGTCTCCTCTCTCTAATTGCCTTTCCAATAAAAATAAATCTTTTTTTTAAAAAAAAAAAGATACCTGCCACACCGTAATACCAACCTGACCATTATTGTAGCAGATCTTTATTCCTTGAGCCAGATTCCTGGAAGTAAAATTACTAAATCAAAAATTATACACATTTTGAATTGTTTGCTTGTGATACTGGTGTCCCAGAGGTTTACTAGAAACCTTACACAGGCCACTCCTGCCAGCTATGCCTAACAAAATATCAATCCTAACTTTGGTGTAAATTGTTTTTAATGTTTGATAAAGTGGACAAGCAAAATAGCTTCTTGTTTTGACTTCAAATACAGTAAGTTCCTAGGCATTGTTAGTTGACTGGATATTGATGTTTTGTCGGTAACTTGGTAAGTCCTTTTTCTAAGCTATTTTGTAGAAACACTGTATACTGAAGGATGTGAATGTTTAAATGTCATTTCTGTTCTCTTTAGTTCTCTTTATGTCCGCAGTTTCCTTTTCTGAGGTTCAGACTTTTAATCATTAATCAGTTTTGAATTTTCACTTGTGTTGTATGACTCTAGCCTTCAAGGGTATATATTTTTTAACTTCTTTATGGTTTTTATATTCCTTTTCGGTTTACTTGTATTTAAAGTGTAAAATTGCTGAAGTGTTTGCTGTTGATAACATGGCTGAGATGCTCTTTCCTGTATTCGGAGTGTTATTTTTGTCCTCAAGGCTTTCATGCACTTTCTCTTTTCCTGAATTTTTGTGTCCCTAACAGAGTCGTAATCGTTGTTACTGCGCAGTGCACCTTTAATAGCTGCGAGGGCATGTACTCCCTCGCGCTTCCCTTCGCTTTCGGAAACATTTGTATTTCCAGATGAGCTTTAAAGAATTATCTTTAAAAAAAAAAAAACAGTATCTGAGTACAATCTACTGATTTTTAAAGCAGTTTTTATGAAAAAAAAATTGATATTTTCACTACACGAAGTTAAAGAATAAAAATTTAATGAAGGGTAAAAGTATCCCATTGATTGATTATTAACTATTCTTCACAGGAGAAAAGAGAAAACATTCATTGTAGAAACAATTTCACCTTTAAAACCATTCCTGTCACAAACCACAGTTACAGCCTTGTTGGTGCTTCCTCATATATTGAAGAATTCCAATCCCAGTTCTTTTTTGTAAGTACAATTACTCGCTAAACTAATGCTAATACTCCTTAAAGTAAGCATGCCCTGTCCATTGGTATTAGACGTTTTAGAATATTAGGCACAACTTGGGAGGGTTAGAAGTTGAAGATCTTTTTTCAGTATATAATATCCACAAATAATATTGCCTCCTAGGGTTATTTTATTTCATAAATGACTGGAATTCATGTGTGTGTGCAAGTTAACCCTTTGGTTACATACCATTTAGTTTGAAAAATGCATTTGTAAGAATATTTCAATGCCAGGAATATTTTTTACCAGAAAAATAATTTGTCCTTTTAAGTGCTATGTTTTCTACATATGATCATATGATTTTTTAAAAATAGCTAGCTTGTGTCTTGAGGTTTTAACATTCATCCACACACAGACTCTTGAAGCTTGCATTTGTTCAGCTCACTTCCTGTTCGTGCTGGGGGCAGGACTGGAATCTCGATCTGATTTACTATCTTGCTCCCTGTGGCTTTTTAGTAATTTTTACAGTCAGCCAGTTGTTTTGTCTGTTTAGATTTCTCGTGTGTTTTTTTGGAAGCGCTTTGGAAATTTCTGCCAAAAAGTAGCAGAATTTAACGTATGTTCTGTTGACTGTGCAGCTCCAATCGGGAAGAACCAGCTTGTTGGTAGTGTCCGGGCCGTCAGCCCGTGAGCTCAGGAGTGGATTCCCACTGCTGCGGCCTGTGACCCCTGCAGCACTGCCAGTCCTTCCCGGGTGGACCTGCGGGTGAGGAGCCCTCAGCACTGGTGTCTGAAGAAAAGCACCGCTAACCTTTGTTTCTGAAAAATGCTTCCAGTGAGTTTCCGATTCCAGGTTCATAGCTTTGGAGAGTTTTTGATATCTCATAGTTTTAATGCTATTGCTCTCCTTATGTTCTCATTCTCACAGTTTCTGATTTTAAAAACTCATCATTTTTTATTCTGCACCTAATGTTTCTTTTTTTTCTTTTTTTTTTTTTTTTTATTCTTAAGACTTTCCTTTTTATAGTTTTGACTAGTTTGACCATATAGTTTGACCATGACATGCAGAGATTTTAATTTTCTTAATATTTGTTGTGCTTGGGATTGATTGAGGTTTTTTATATGTGGTTTTATAATTTTCCTCAGACTTTGAAATATTTTGGTTATGATTTCTTCATCTGTTTCTCTCTGTCCTAACTCTCCTCTCTCAGGGACTCCTGATCTCACGCGTCGGGGCTGTGTCAGTGTGCTGCAGCTGGCTGACGCCTTTGTGCCTTTTTCCCCCTTTTGTCTGTTGTCAGTTCTGGTCATTTCTATGGATGCATCTTCACATTCACTATGTTTTCTGAAGTGTCGAGTCTGCTGTTCTCTGCCATGTCTTTCACTTGGCACACTGTAGTTTTCGTCTCCAGTTGTTCTGTCTCTTTGGCATCTTGCATGTTTCCACCTTTATGAATATATAGAATAATTCAAATAACTTTTTAAGTTCTTTTGCCTAATTCTAACATGTGTGTTAGTTCTGGCTTGATTTTTTTCATTGGTTGGTTTAATCTCTGTTATGGCTGACACTTTAATGTCAGTTGCTTACCTGACTAATTTTGAAAGGTGTACATCGCAGCTTTTAGTTGGCTGAGTTCTAGTGTATTTGCATCATGTGTTTCTGGGAATTGTTCTGTGCTAGTTATTTACAAACAGTTTGATATTTTCAGATTAGGCAGGTCTAGAACAGTGCTCAGAATGTGGCTACTTGCAAACCACTGAGCGAGCAGACTCATGTGCTCTCCTCCGTGCTCCACATGCTGAAGCTTTGAAAGCCAGACCAGTGAGTGCGAGTAGTTCCCTAACCCTAACCCTTCTGGCTTGCTTTCCTCAGCCTCAGGTTTCCTCACACACTCTGATGGTTTGTTTGGTTTGTTTTTTTGGTGGTTTTTTTTTTTTTTTTGAGATTTATATATTTTTATTGGAAAGGCAAATATACAGAGAGGAAGAGAGACAGAGAGGAAGATCTTCCGTCCAATGATTCACTCCCCAAGTGACCTCAATGGCCGGTGCTGCACCAGTCTGAATCCAGGAGCCAGGAGCCCCTTCCAGGTCTCCCAGGTGGGTGCAGGGTCCCAAGGCTTTGGGCCATTCTCGGCTGCTTTCCCAGGCCTTGGGCAGCGAGCTGGCTGGGATTAGAACTGGTGCCCTTATGGGATCCCAGTGTGTACAAGGCGAGGACTTTAGCCGCTAGGCCACCGCACCAGGCCTGCTTGCACTGATCTTACTCATGGAACCTTTGATGATGTCAAGAATTTTCCATTCACCTCTTCTCTTTGTCTTGTGGATTGTAGCCATCTTGCTTTCCCAGGAAATTCTGCACTGTTTCCTCAGTTTGGGCTGTATGCCCCTCCATGTACTGAAGCCTAGAGACTTGGTCCAGGGGGTAGACTGAGGCAGTGCTAGGCTCACTTCTTTGTTTCCCCAAGTCTCCAGGATAGCTGACTTCTTTGCTCAATATCCACTGTTTTCAAAACTCTTGTTGTGTCTTTGGCGGCATCTGGGTCTTTTAGGACAGGATCAGTCCAGTTTGTTATTTTATCTTGGCTGGCAGCGGAAGTCCTCTTCACCGATTAAATCTTAACAGGTTTGCAAAGTTATTTTAGACTATCCTTATAAAATTTGCCTTTTATTTTCTTAATTTTCACATGAAGAAAATATTCTTTACAAACTTAAGCATAGTCTTAATAAATGTTGAAGGTGTTAAATTATCTCTAAAAATCCAAGACTGGAGTCCTCTCTGAATCCCTGACAAGGACCAGGATCAGTACCAGTGCTGTTTTCTGTCATCCCTATTAAGTGAAGTGTACATGTCAAATTTAAGTAACTCAGTGAAAAGATCTATCAGTTTAAGTATGTGGGATAGAAGCTAGTCATGGCACGTGTCATGGTGGCCACAGCAGATCGCATCACGAGGTGAGACCTGCTTCCCATCTGTACCGTTCTCCACTCCTCACACGTGCCTAGCCGTACAACCCCAACATACTTCCCCTCCTGTCCTTTTCCTGTGTTCTTTAAACCTCTGTGGAACACCAACTTAAAGCTGAGACTTAATTACAAGCTTTTCTCTACTTACCTGTGTAATTTAATACTTCGGTCTTTATCTTTTTAGGAACATAGCTACAGTGTAATGGACAGTCCAAAGAAACTTAAGCATAAATTAGATCATGTGATCAGCGAGCTGGAGGATACCCAGGAAAGCCTGCGGAACGTTCTAGAACGAGAAAAGCATTTCCAGAAATCACTGATGAAGACAATCAGGGAATTAAAGGATGAATGCCTGATAAGCCAGGAAACAGCAAATAGACTGAGTGCCTTCTGTTGGGAGTGTTGTCAGGAGAGCATAAAACGAGAGTACATTTCATGAAGTAATTTAATATTATGTTCTACCAGAAATCGGCACTGGTACAGCTTTTTAGAAAATATTTCTCACTTCCATCACTGTATAATAACCATCATTTAGAAGTGCTGCTTTTGTCCCCTGGAGCATTGTTTTATAGTTGTTATCCAAAGACTTTTTTGAAAACATGCAGGAGTATGTGGTAGTTATCATGTTTTTGTGTGACTTGTAACGATTATGTTTTATAGGCCTGAACTAGAGTCAGGTCACTGTTGGTAAGATGTTGAAATCTCAAGAAAATTGTGCAGGACCAAGGAAATGTCCCAGACTAGCCACAGTAGGTTCCAGGAGTGGGCAGGTGGTGTGTCAGCAGCACGAGAGGCTGCCTCATGATAACGGTGAATTTTGCTTTCATTTATGGTATATTTCCACCTAGGTACCAACCTAAGGTCTGTAGTTAGCAGTAATGCTAAAGGGTCTTTTTACAAGGCTTCCCACAATACTGAGCTGGGAGTTATTCATGGTGAAGGTTTGTTGACTCTAAAATCATTGCAAGCCAGTTTGGGAAGACCCCTACGTGAGCCATCAGGTTTTCACTGCGGCACACCCTCCTTCCTTCCAGCATTTGATGTAAACCCATAGAACTTTGAAAACAAGCTATTGATTTTAAGGTGGTTACTCTGAAAGGTTGACTAACTTCATCATAAAGATATAGCTTCTTAAAGGTGTATCTGAATGCCAGTATTAGCTGAATACTATGATGCTGCTTTGGTATTTTATAGACAGTAACATTGCTGACATTTTTTGAAAGCACATAGATGAAACCACTAAAATTTTAGTAACTGTGTGGCTCTTCAAGGTTTAATAATTTGAGAAAAATTAGATTTTTTTTGTTTTACTTCGGAGAGTATAGATTTGTGACCAAGGGCTTTTCTTTAGAGAAGTTCCGTGAAACAACAGATTTAAAATAGCTTTTTAAGGAATATTCAAAAGAATAACCTAGCTGTTTTCTGATCCAAATATCAGAAACTTAGCTTTGCTCCTCATATGTTATTAAGAGCAACTGGAACTATCATCAATACTGTGCGATAGAACAAAAACTAGCCAAAATTTTGAAGCATGTGTACATGTGTGAGCCTCTTTCAGAAGTCCACGTTAGAACTTTGTTATCGGTTGTCTCATTGTAGTAACAAGAAATGAACTGCATTTTGTACTAAGTTGTTCCTTGTGGTTTTGTGTTATCTTGATATCAATAAGGATACAATCACTTGAGGGTTTTTTGTATTTAAGATTTTTCTATGTTTTACTGTATATTTTTATGTGGGTTTCCAAACCTTGACTCTAAATGCAATTTTACCATGATGAGAGGCAAACATGCTATTTACTATTTTAAAAAGAAAGCAAAGCCTTTTTTAGCTACCCCTTATTTATTTCAGTTATTTAACTTTAAAATCACTCCAAGAGCAAGCGGAAGGATATGTTCCGACAAGTATCTGCACGTTCTAGCACCCTGCTGGCTGCTGGGAGGGAATGCAGCCGGAAAGGCCTTTCCAAGAGGGAAGTCCCAGTTTGTGCAACCACAGTTTCCACAATCCCTCCCGCATCTCGGTTCACATGAACTCCGTCCTTACCTTCCTCATTGGCCCTCATACCAGTGAGACACCGGTCACTGGGAGCAGAATGTTGGTATCCTTAAGGACCCGGAGCTGCCCATTTGTTCTCCATTCTTACATGGGAATGGTTCCTAATAGAGACCTGACATAACAAGTGGGATCCTCGCCATTGCCATCCCAAACACAAATCTAAGCACAGCATATACCTCAGTCCTCTGTCTCCAAAGACCCCAGGCCAGGGAAGAACCATCCCGCAAAACAGACCCAAGGCCTGTGCCATCCAGAAGGCTGGCAAAGGGTTCCAGTGTGCTTTACAGCTTGGCACGGCCTCTGGATCCCAGAACACACCATTATACGAGTGCAACCTCAGCACCAAGTCAGGTATGAAGGACGTGATGTGGCATTTTTCTTAAAGTCAAATTTAAATTTCTGGAAATAGACTTTGATCACTAAGGATAGTTACAGCTATACCATAGTCTTTGATTTGAGGAAAGATGAAATGTATTATATGTTTAATAAGACAGAATTATTACAAAAATAATTGAGGGTTGAAAAATCTTTTATTTGAAAAATAAAGTATTTTCTCCAATCATGTGCCTATGTGGATTTTATGCTTTAAGTCAATACAGTGTGCAGAGAATGGGCTTTGGCCGTCGTTTCTTCAGCAGCCTTTCCCTGCCGGCAACTCCAGTGTGGGTTCTGCTTGAGTAGATGACCTGTGGGCAGCTGCATCCCTCCACCAGCATGAACCGCGAAGAGCCCTTTCCTGCTGTGGACCTCACTGGAGGGAGAGCACTGCCCCAGGTGTGTCAGACGTTGGCTTCAGAACCCAGAGAGGCCAGTCCACTGCCTGCCTTCTTCATGGCAGAGCCTGCACGTCATAATGATTTGTCTTCTACTTTAGAGGGAATAATGTCCTAGCATACTTCAGATCACTGGGCATTTCTCCCTGCAAAGTTTAACAAAGTTAGGGGTTTTTGAAAACTCTATAGGGCGCTTTTTTTTTTCCAGTTTCTGAAATACCTATGCTTTATAAAGGCCTCCGATTTTCTCATCCCATTGGGTTACTGTAATTCCTTGATAGAATGAATTAAGCAATTTTCTGTGGAATGTCTTTGAACATAGCAGAAGCAAGATCATTTACATAGGCTTGGGGCAAGATGGTACCTGCGTACTGTTGTTCATTCTTCTGAGCTGGAACTAGTTTCTGATCCTCCGAGTGGAAAGGATACATCCACAGCTCGGGCTGCATAGCAGGTATCAAGGACTGCATGTCAATCTGCTCTAACAAAGCTACTGCCTCTGGCTCTGCAGCTATGTCAGGGCTACTGCTTGGCTGAATTTACCTTAGTGACCGTCACCTGGCAGGATCTGGTGAACTGATGGGATGACGGGGCTACTACTCTTGCATACTGTAGATGTACAGAAGTGGCATTAGCCAGTCCCACAGAAAAGCATGAAACCAAGGTAATAATAATTAAAAACAAGCGGACAGGTGGAGGCCCGGGACTGATTTGTTTTCCTTAGAAAGGCCTCAGGGTTGGAAGTCTTGGCTGGTATCTGGGAATCTGGAATTTAGAAGTCCTACCACACCCTCGTTGTGAGAGTGGCTTGCTGTGTCTGAACTGGACAAACTGTGTTTCATGCTGAACACCTGCTTACCATCTCGGAGTGGGGAATTTGGGAATGTTACGGGAAAGGTGCCTGGATGACCACATCCAGCAAAAACAGCGACACTGAATCTAATGTTTGTGTTGTTTTTCAGGTTTTTTGTTGTTTCCTTTTTTTTTTTTTTCTTTTTTTTGGTTCTGTGTTTGTTCTTGACACAACATCTTCAACATCTTTAATGAACGTCCCTAGTAGACAACATATCATACATACAGTGATAACTCAGTGTGACAGGGATTCAGTGGTTCCTTTGTTGAGGCCCCAGAGAACACCCCCAGGTTCAATGACACAAAATTCAGAACATAGTTTTATTCATGACTGACAGTAAAAGAATATCATCACTCCCCACCCCCCCTGCTCCCTGAAAGAGAAAATTCAGCAAAAGGAGAAAGGTACAAGATATTTGTATTCATGGGCCCAGCAGCGTGGCCTAGTGGCTAAAGTCCTCACCTTGCATGCCCCGGGAGCCCATATGGATGCCAGTTCTAATCCTGGCAGCACCGTTTCCCATCCAGCTCCCTGCTTGTGGCTGGGAAAGTAGTCAAGGACGGCCCAAAACCTTGGGACCCTGCACCCGTGTGGGAGACCTGGAAGAAGTTCCTGACTCCTGGCTTTGGATTGGCGCAGCACTGGCCATTGCACTCACTTGGGGGGTGAATCAACAGATGGAAGATCTTTCTGTCTCTCCTCCTCTCTCTATATCTGACTTTCCAATAAAAATAAAATCTTAAAAAAAAAAAAAAAAAGATACTAAGATACTTGTATTCAACACAGATGGCCTTGTGGAATTGCCTAAAGTTGGGACCAAGAAGTTGAGCCCTCACAGCCATCAGTCAGCCATCACTGGACAGGCAAAGGGCGCATTCATTTCAGCTGGAGCAGTTTCTAGGTGGGACGGCTGGTCACAGGTTTCTGTGCTGGCAACACTGCCAGCAGCTGGAGTAGTAGTTCTGTTCCTGGATGCGGTGCTGGGTGGAGCAGCAGAGCTCCGCTCATTTCTGAAACTGTCCCTAGCCTGCACTCTGCTGCTCCTGCCCAGAGTTACTTTGTGATCTAACACTCTCATTAATGGATAACAGTGGTTGACATGACTGTTGGGGACTTGGGGCATACATAGTTAAGTGTCATGAGGTGATGGAAAGTTGTCATGGGTGAGTTGTTTTGCAAACACCGGAGCCCTCTTACACAGGTGGCCTGTTGTTGGCTAGAACATTGGCACACAGCCCAGGACAGTAACACTTTGAATTCTCCTTAACATCATTTGCAGTAGAGTGAACATAGTCTGAGTATAAAGGTGAGAACTAATGAACCGGTGAGACACCAGCTGCCATGACTGGGCCGTGGCTTGTGCCCACGGTCCTTTCACTGAAGCTTTGCTTCTCAGCATGGCAGTGTGATGGGTAGTGGGACGCCAGAGATGCCAGTTAATGGGAGGTCCTTACCCAAGAGGGGATTCAGGTCATGTTCGTGACGTTGAGGTCTTGCAAGAAGGAGTTAACAGAGCAATCTTGGAGCCCATGTCACCCTTGGGTTGCTCGCTCCCACCACATCCCCACTACAGTGCCATCTGCCTTTAGGCCCTCACCAGGGGCTCAACACCGGAAGCACACCAATCCCAGCATTACATACTCCAAAATTTGGGAGTTAAAAAACCTGTGTAAAGTTCCCCAGCCTCAACTGTCTTGTTACTGTAACGAAAGCAGTCAAATTCAACAGGCCATCTGCAGAAGCACCAGCACCTAACGCGGTGCCATCTGGTACCTGCTCCACTAGAGCTGCTCAGCCCAGAGGCTCTAGACCAGCTTCAGCCAGCTCCGCATGCAGAGCGTCAGATCACACACTGAGCGCTGTTCAAAATGCATTCAGATGTTTAAGTTCATAAACACGTTTATGCATATACAATGCCCCGACATTGGAACCCATCTTAGCACTTGCACTGTGACTCACAAATATGTCCCCCGTTTTTAAAAGATTTTTATTTATTTTTATTAGAAAGGAAAGTTTAAAGAAAGAGGAAAAGACAGAAAGATCTTCCTTCCACTGGTTCACTCCCCAAATGGTCACAACAGTTGGAGCTGAGCTGATCTAAACATTATAGGAGCCAAGAGCCTTTTCCAGGTCTCCCAAGTGGGTGTAGAATCCCAAGGCCTTGGGCCATCTTTCATTGCTTTCCCAAGCCATAACCAGAGAGCTGAATTGGAAGTGGAGTAGGTTGGACATGAACTGACACGCATACGGGATACCAGCGGTTAGAGGTGGAGGATTAGCCAGTTGAGCCAACACACCAGCCCCTAAACTCCATTTCCGTGGAGTGTATACCTTTAGCCTCTTCCAGACACGCTCCCTTCCTCGCTATCTAAAATCATTTCCTTGCTTTGAGACATTATTGCCTACAACAGATGATTTGGTCTCACTATCTCCAATCTGCCCCGGGAGGAGTCTGAAGTACATGTCCTCAATAATTACACTAAACACAGTGAACAGAGCATCCCAATTTTAAGAAATAGTTGGTTGGAAAAGATTAAAAAGCAAGACTCAACTACAGGCTGGATACAGGGTAGCTCCTTTAAATATAAAAATAAAGGGTCCGGCAGCATGGCCTAGTGGCTAAAGTCCTTGCCTTGAACGCACCAGGATCCCATAAGGATGCCAGTTCTAATCCCGGCAGCACCGTTTCCCATCCAGCTCCCTGCTTGTGGCTGGGAAAGCAGTCGAGGACGGCCCAAAACCTTGGGACCCTGCACCCACCTGAGAGACCTGGAGGAAGTTCCTGGCTCCTGGCTTTGGATTGGCGCAGCACTGGCTGTTGCGGTCACTTGGGAAGAGAATCATAGGATGGAAGATCTTCCTCTCTGTCTGTCCTCCTCTGTGTATATCTGATTTTGCAATACTTCAGTGTAGGAGCTGGGTCCAACAGTCATGTAAAAGTTTTACGTTCTTCGTTAAGGAACCTAGATAGGCATATGTACAATCCCCCAAACAAGAACATACATAACCCAGATTGTATGTGAGGATAATAAATGTGTGCTCAACTAGGCCACTCTGTGTTTCCAAGCTCAGTGTTCATGAGTGTGAATATGGCTGGAGTGGCCAGCAAAGCGTGACGTGTGCTCACAGGATTCTTCCCTCGAGTCTGGCACTCCTGCTTCTCCTAGGCCTGAATCCCTGCCCAAAGGAAAGTCA